ATGCTAATTAACACTATTTTTTTGTCATATCATTTTATATTTTTAAAAACTTTCTTCTAATAAACTTTTAATATCCGAAATACCTTTCACATTTCGTTTTTGGATCAAAATGCACAAAAGGAACGCCACATATGGGAGGCAAGCCGATAAAGTTATAAAATGTAGGAGACGACTGCATAATATTCTTGAGACAGTTGCAGAGATCTTGTCGATCTCCTCTTGTTTTTGTTTGTTGGTTTACAGTCGATATAGTCTTGCAACATGCACTGCAAGAAAACATGACTATTTCGGATGGACAATAGTATAACTTGGATAAACCTTTCTCCCCGAACATGGTTTCAACGTATTTTTACCATTTCACAATTTATACTACACACAAATTTAGCATTGAAAATTGGAGATATAGCTACCACTAAAACAATAGAAACGACAATAATTGATTTGATCATGTTTGCTTGATTGTATCTATGTATTATTCTTCTGTAAATATTTTGTTTGAGAATATAAATCTATTTATAAGAAATTAGTTGAAATATCAAATCAAGTATACTAATTCTGACCTTTGAATGGTATATAATATTTGAATTAAGATAAAAAAGAAGATCAAGCTATTAAATCTCCATTAGTCAAACTTATACATCAGTCAACCTTCTTTTTTTGGCAATATATTAGTATTTTTTTCTATTAATTAATTATTATCCTAGATTAATTAAAAATAATAATTACAAAAAATTAGGATGAAGAAAAGAACAATTAGATAAAAAATTAATTATCTATTACATGAACTGATTTAGTGATATTAGTTAGCCCTTTTTTGGTAATGTATTAGTATTTTTCTCGTAATTACATCTTATCTTAAATTAATTACAAATAATTATTAGTTAAAAAAATTACAATGAAGAAAAATATTTTTAAAATTATAAAGTTATAATTATATATTAAAGGCAGTTTATATTAGATTTTAGATATTTTCGGATAGGTTATTTCGATTCTCTTGCGTTAGACTTTGTATAAGTATGCAAGAATTGATATTTAATATTATCGATATTCTTCAAAACATGTATTAATCTTATAAAAAAGCCTTCGAAGTTAACAAAAATTGTTCTCATTACCAAAAGTGTGCTGGTGTAGCGGTAACACAAGGGAGTTGGTTCTTTTGTGTTCCAAGTTCAAATTCTCTTTGGGATGAAGAATTATTCTTTAAAGAAATATCTAAAAGCTGACTACAAATATCGAAGATATTATAAGCTAGAGGTTTGAAACTCCTTAAAAAAAGTATTATCATCACATTGTATTTATAGTGCATAATATAATTTAAAACTAATAAAAAAAAAACTTACTACATGATAAAATTAAAAACATTAATAAATCTCATGTTTGTGCATGGCGAATGAAACATTCTAGTTAAGTAAAATGATGGTTAGACCAATTCAGACTAATTTTGGCCGGTTAGGTCCAGAAGAATCTCATTTATATAAAAAAGGAAGAATTTGTGAGCTCTAAAACATGCCACCTAAGCAAAAATAATGTTGAATATAATCAACCAATCAATTTGACATGTTAGCTACTTTTTTTTTTACTTTTGGAGGACTATTTCGAATATCAAATAAAAATTCAGTCCAATATTAAGTTTTTTTTTTTGTTTAGAAAGTGAATTTCAGCCCAGCCCAAAGACAGAAGTCTTTCTTCTTCCCTTTCTTCTTGCTTCACGACACAACCCTCATCTTAGTATTATTCCTCTCCGCTTCTGAGTTGACTGTTACACAATCTCCAAACTTATACCACAATTCATCTTTCGATTCTACGATTCATCTTCCCATCCTTTAATCCTGTCCCACTTCCATCACTCAAAACGCCTAAAGGCACGATCCTAGATCGGCGTTAATGGCTCCATCATTTTCACAGCCACTTATATATAGAAACTTGAGTACTAATGGCTCTACGCTTGCCAAATTCCTCGCCTTTCTAAATTTTTCTTCAGATTTCGATTGTTCAAATTGTTATAAACACGATTTTTACTTTCCAGCGGATGCGTCTAACCATATCTCCTATTATGCATGATTCCAATTTGAGAATCATCAAGTCACATGCTGATTAACAAGAAGCTGACCAAATCAGAACCAAAGTTGGACGCAGGAAACAGTAACGACAAAACAAGATATGTTCTAAAGTGAGTGTTTAGCGCATCTTTATCCTTGAACTTTTGCTTCTCCGAAAACTACCTTACTAATCGTCTCCATACCTAGATGAATTGAATCAAGTGACGCTAAATCGAGAGAGAATTCTGACTTTTCTCAAGTTGATATCAATGACGCTAATATGATTTGAGACAAGTTTAAGAGTTTTTTTGACATGTGCTTTATCATTATTTCGACTTGATACTTAAAGACTTCCATGTAGAATTATGTCTGACGTCTGTGTGTATTTGATGGTTGGGACAGGGAGTTCATGAAATATCTGAAAGATCACCAGACCGGTTATGGAGAAAAGATGAAACAAGAATCAACAAGGTTGTTTTCATCGGCAAGAGTTTGAACTGGGAGGAGTTAGAGATGGGTTTCAAAGCTTGCTTGATTTGATTATAGGAACAAATAGTAAAACAAAAACATTCGAATGACTATCAGTTGGCCAATAGACATTTTTCAACACTAAGCTAAAGATGGA